CCCGAAGCCCAGGGGAGGCTGGATGGGTCTCAGCAGGGTAACCACATCCAGGTGTTTGATTCTCCCCCTGCAGGAGTCAAGAGACAGCTGCGCCTCACCCCTCTGCTCCAGCAGTGGGGCTGCAAACCCGAGCCAGGGGGGCAGGAGCTCTGGCTCACCCACTGCCTCCCCATGTGTCCTCGGGGAAGTCCCTGAGATCCAGATTGTAAAGGTATCAGACGTCGTTACACTGAGCGATGCAGCACCTGAGACCAAAGCCAACGGCTCCTTTTCCAACGGGCTCCAGTGCTAGCAATGGGGCTTTCGGCTCCTCGGTGCCTAAATCGCTCTTGAAAATGAGCCTGGAGTCCTAAATCACTTAGGCGCTGCACCAGGCAGTGTAGCAATGCCCAAAGCCTTGAATAATCCGGGCTCGCGGCCTGCCCGCACTGCAGTTTCCCCATCTCCAGCGCTTCCCTGCTGCGCCGAGGACCGTCACTGAGGACTGGACGCTTCAGGGGACAAGCCTAGAATCCAGCTGGGGGCAGTTTGGGGGCTGGTGTTCCATGAGCTGGGGTTTCCCATAGAACTAGCATCTCCGCAGGCCAAAGGAGCCCACTGTGATCGTCCCACCTGGCCTCCCTGTAGGACACAGACTCCGTGGCGGGTATATTGTGGGTGTGGGGGCAAAACTGGAAATCGGAGCCAGAAACCTGAGCAACGGGGGCAGCAATGCAACCAGGCGAATGTCTGAGTTAGCCAACTCATCCGAGTGCCAGGCTGGAAGGGTCTATACTCTAGACAGGGTATGTCTCCACTCGCAGCCTAAGCCACACGAGGGCTGCAAATGGAGGCATTCGGAATTGCAAATCAAGCCCGGGATTTAAATATCCTGCACTTGATTTGCATCTTCCCAGCCGGGAGCTTTTTTTTTTGGTGTGAAATTGACAAGCCCAGAATAACTGCCCGCGTCTACACACGGCAGTGAAATGGGCGTTTGAAATAAAGCCCTATTTCGAAATACCTGTTACACCTCATTGCAGGAGGAATAACAGGGATTTCGGAATAGGGCTTTATCTCGAACGCCCATTTCACTGCCGTGTGTAGACGCGGGCAGTTATTCTGGGCTTGTCAATTTCACACCAAAAAAAAAAGCTCCCGGCTGGGAAGATGCAAATCAAGTGCAGGATATTTAAATCCCGGGCTTGATTTGCAATTCCGAATGCCGACATTTGCAGCCCTCGTTCGAATGGAGTGGAGACATACCCACAGGGAATAACTTTGTAACAAAGGGGGAGCATGGAATGGGGGCGCCCTTGCCCATAACCCTACGCCGGGCCCTGTTTTGCTGGGCTGCTCACTCCCTGAAGCAGTGAATAAACGACAGACTGGCCTCTCTGTGACCCTGTGCATGCTGGGTAGCGGGCACAGAACCGGTACACTCTCCTGTAGAACAGCAGCCAGACACCTTGCCCCAAATAATGCCTTTTGAACTACAGCCCATCTTGAAAGCCAAACAGGCCTGATGGAAAATGTGCGTGTGATGGAGACTTACGGCCCTTGGTATGGATGCTACTTGTGCGATGGCTCAGCTGTGGATCAATAAGGGATTTCAGTCCTACGGGCTTTCAATCCAGCAAATTTCCCCTCCCCTCCAAGCTAAATCCACTCAAGCTTTTAAGGCAATAATCCGCTGGCCTCCCACAGACCCAGGCTAGCCACAGCTCACTCACTTGGCTTCTGGGTCGTATTCTGCCCAGATTCTTTTGAATTCGTCCAGGTGGTGCGGACCCAAGATGGACCAGTCCCGTGTGAGGTAGTCGAAGTTGTCCATGATGACGGCGACAAAGAGGTTGATAATCTAGCCAGAGAGGAGGGCAGGGGAAGGGACCTCAGCGGGCGCCACGCAGCTCCGCTGAAGTCGGCTGAGCACACGTCCCGCAATGCACCAGTGAAGGTGCCCACGTGGGAAGGGCTGCATAAAACTACAGGAGGGTCCCACGCCTGTGCTATCTTCCCATGCGCTAAGCGGCTACGGGCCAGTCTCCTCGACAGACTGAGGGCGTAGTACAAGTCTCCTCCGCTAGCACCCATCCCCAAAACCTGGCGCAGACGCTCTCAGCTCCCCGCGGCCCTCGGGCAGGAACGAGACCAGCTGCGTGGGCTGGGGGGGATTCGGTGGGCACGCTGACACGTGGCGGGCAGCATTTCACGCCTGTCTAGCAGAGCTACCGCCTGGGGAAGGGGGGATGTTCCCGCATGCCCCGCCCCCAGGAGTGCAAACCCCGCCCACGAGCCACGCTCTGCCGGCGGAGAGTCTGAAGCGAGGGGGGTCCCAGCGAGTGGGCAGGGTGAGGGCCAGGCAGAGGGCTCCGGATGCCGGTGGAGTCTGCAGCTATGGTCAGGCCAGGAGCAGACCTGGAAACATTCCTACCCCGCTGGGAAAGCCTGAGACAACCACAGGCGGCCCCTCCCCTCGCCCGCCCCGCCCACGAGCCACGCTCTGCCGGCGGAGAGTCTGAAGCGAGGGGGGTCCCAGCGAGTGGGCAGGGTGAGGGCCAGGCAGAGGGCTCCGGATGCCGGTGGAGTCTGCAGCTATGGTCAGGCCAGGAGCAGACCTGGAAACATTCCTACCCCGCTGGGAAAGCCTGAGACAACCACAGGCGGCCCCTCCCCTCGCCCGCCCCAGGCTCTTTGTCCTCAACCCACACGGCAGCCTGTTCCCGCAGCCCCTCCTGCGGGACGGTGGGGGGCTCGGCATGGCCCTGAGTGG